AAATACAGCTGCGTTGCCAAGTTGTGCACCCACTATTAGACCAATTACAAAACGCGGTAGTTTTAAATTGCAATCATATTTCAAATATTTACCAGTGTTGGATTTTATAAATTGGCATGAATTAATGTATTTTGTGTCATAGAATAATACAAAGGAAAATAAAAAATGACAAGTATGTATGAGGGCGATTCCATTATTAGTAACGGCATAAGCAAAAAGAAAATACTTTTTATTTTACGTTTTCTTTGAAACTAACATAGATTTTTCCAGACTTCTTTGTGCAAATTATTAATTAATTTTATTGCTTGCTGAAGATCATAAAATTATTATTATAGAAAAAACACATCTACAAAAATCGTCATTTTTTTTAGCCCTGTTAGTTATATTTCTATGGAAACATGTTTTGTCCTTATTAAAAAAGGCAAATGGAGAGTTTTGCATCTAGACGACTCATATGTAGATACCTACCCATATAATCTTTTTTTTTGCAATAACTTTGGAAGACAAATAATACCCACATAATTCTATTTATATATTTATTTCCAAAAAAACAATATAATAACAAGATAGAAGGATGAGCACTTTCAAAAGCGGTCATAAATGCTTTTAAATGCTCGAGCATTTGTGAGCACTTTGCAAAGGGCTCAAGCATATACCATCTATAATAACAAGTATAATATAATATAACAATAATATAGCATCATAATGTTTCAGGTACATTTAAGCAGAAATCAGACAAAACCAGACAAATAAGTCAAAAGCAAACGAATTCTTTTATTTTTTTATTTGTTTCTGCAAATCACTACAATGGATTTGTCTGGTTTTGTCTGATCGCTCCTCATTTAGAATCTCAAATCAGCCAAATGCTGATAATGAGATTATTTAGCAGGTACATGGTTGTAGTCTTAATTTAAATACTTTTTATCACATTTGTTAAATTACATAATACATATTGTAGTGGTGCTTCAGTTTCTTTTAAAGCTGTCAAAGTTACTTGCATTTTTAACATTTTCCAGTAAAGACGTAAGATAGTATGCTTGTATTGATAGTGCTGCATTTTCCATGGTTAAAGGTTGTTGTTAATGAATGTGTTCTGATACGTGTTTAACAACTTGTGCCTTACTATGCGGCCATTCCACGCGTAACGGATGGGAAAATTTTCAAGTTTTTATTTACAACATAATATTGTTCTATTATATTACCAATGTCAAATTTTTATAAATAGTTCTAAACAAAAGCTGTTTAACAAGGTTTTTATTTGGCAAAATTAGGTATTGTGGTTGACTGTTTAATTCCTTAATAATTAATAATTTAAAGCGTCAACCATGATACCTAATTTTGCCAAATAAAAACCTTGTTAAACAGCTTTTGTTTAGAACTATTTATAAAAATTTGACATTGGTAATATAATAGAACAATATTATGTTGTAAATAAAAACTTGAAAATTTTCCCATCCGTTACGCCTGGAATGGCTGTATGCTTTCCATTAACTAAGGTGTACTGTTTAGGTAAGTTTCTCTTTTAATCTGCTATGGTTGAATTTTGTTTATTGTAAAAAAAATAGCTAGCATGTATAATCATGGTATTTAATTGAGATGTTATTAAAGAGATTTCCGATTGTGTGGGTCTTTTAATGGTGTTTTTGCTTCCTTTTACTTTGTTCATAGTTGAAAAAAAAGTATTTTGTTTTTTTATTTTTTTATTTGCGGGTTCTAAAAATATATGTATATATAAATAAAACACATTATACATAATATGATAAATAGTTTTACTTACCCTGGCAATTTTTATTGTCTGTTATAATTCTTTTTTTAGAATCACCTTTTTGTATGCTTGTTAAAGCAATACAATTTTGCAAAAATTTCAAAATTTGGGGGCCAGTTTCGTTATTTTCATACACTGAATCAGGAATTTCTAACAGTTGTGTGCATGCTTTTTTTATTTCATGTGATACATTTTTCTTGTTTTCTGTCAGCCCATAGTTTGACAATGTTTTAAGATTTAAAACAGTTTCTTCCACACATGGGTTTATTCTGAATTCTGATTCATCTTCCATCTCTTTATTATCAACTTCAATATTCTGTACATTTAGTTTAATGAAATGAATGTGCTTACATATGGTTCCTCTTATGTAAAAGTCCGCACATGTGCATTCAAAATCGTGAATGCATATTTTGCAAAATGAGCAAGTTAACTTGCAGTTTTCATCTGAAGTTTTTTCATTTCTTGAAACCTGATATTTTCCATTTTCTGTTTGTACAATCCAAGTATGATTATTTTCATTAGTAATTTCCATCTTACTAGTTAATGCAACCCGGTGCCTTTTGTGAATGTCTTGAATATGACAATTATTCACTCCTTTTGTAATCTTTATCAAGCGGTTCACAATTTTGTCTCGAGTATATTTGAGAACGGCTGTTATGCCCTTATCCAGTCGTTTCACAGTTTTCCCATCCAAATAAAAGTACTTAATCGTTTTATGCATGCTCTCAAGTACCTAAAATCAAAATATTTATTAACAAATGTATTATATAGGGGAAACACATCAGTAATTAATATTAAATACTGTTTCCCTCCCAAAAAGTGAATTTAATAACAATAATACACATGCAAATATCTAATGTAACATGTTTATCTATATATCTACAAAAAGTATAAAAGATAAGTGGAATTATCTGTTATTTTTAAAAGTATGACTACCAAATATTAGTACTACAAAACAGTAAAAGCATTGAAGACTAATTACATGCCTGCTAAAGCAGTTTTCATTAAGAAGTTAATAAGCTTTTAAGCAATTGTAAATATTTATATTAACCAATCACCATATTTGTATTAATACCACAATTCTTTCGATAGCAGAAGGCCCACATATGGCAGTTATTTGAATATTTTTTTAAAAAATATTCAGCAAATTCTTTAGTATCAGGGTTATTGTGAAAAAGTTTTTTTACAGTGTCAAAATTCCTCTCAAATACTGGTAGTGTTAGAGCACTTTGCAAAACTTTGAGGGTTTGATAGACCTGTTTCCTGGTCTCAATTTTTGGAATTTTGGATAGGTTAGTCCTCCATGCCCTATCAATGTGCCAGGCACAGTACAATCTGTGTGGAATTTCACCCCCCATAGTGGCCTTCCATGCATTGTAATACACCTCTGTGATGTCACTCATAAATACATTTGGGGTTATTAAACCAGCTTTTTCTTTAATTTTTTGAAAGAAAATTTCAAAAACAAGGGTGTCTTTACGATTGGTGAACATGCATGCAACAGGAAATCCTTCACCAAACTCATCAATGACCATTAGAGTGGTTAGTTCAAAGTCGTACATATTCAAACCATGAGTGCTATCAATAGCAACTACAGCACTACCAAACCGTTGCAACATATTTGTTTGTGTAACATTCATAAAAATTATGCAGAAGTCATTAAGAGCAAGTTTTTCAAAATGCTCTCCTTGCTTTTTGTGCAAAAGAACAAAATCTTTTGATTGGTCAACCAAAAGTTCAACACTTACACTGTCATTTTCATGTCTTACTCCCTCCTGGATATTTATGTTAAATGCTGTTTTTATGTTATTGATGTCTTTCCTTGTGATTATATCACAACGAGACAACTTTTCCTCCTCAATAGAGTTCCTATAGGAATCTAAAATTCTAAAAAGAAAAAAAAATATATTGTAGGTAATTAATAATTTTGCCAATGTAATATATTACCTGACTACTGGAACCCCACTTGACAATCTGGCTGAAATATCAATTCTATCCTCTCTTGGTATTCTAATATGCTGAACTTCCAAGTCATGTCCATAGTGTGTTTTAAAATAGTCAACTCTATACTTGTCCATATTCATCTTTTTTAAAATTATCTGACTGGTACAATTGCTGTTGATTTTACAACTCCCTTGACTTTTTAAACATTTGACTGTGTTCTTATTATTGTCTTTAAAGAGTCCTGAAAAGTGATAAGCAAACTATAAACTTAATCCACATTAACTACAAAATATTAAAATATATGAATCAAATACCTGATCGGTTGCAGTTAAAATATGTCAGGTCATTTTTCTTCATACAGTTATATTGCACGTTGTTATTTTTGCAAATAGTATTTTTCCAATCATAAAATTCTAAAAAATAAATAAGTATAGAAATATACTATTAGTAATAAAATGAGGCTTATATTTCCAAATCTCACTCTTTAACTAAAAAAAATTGAAAATTTCATAATTTTGGTCAGTCAGTTTTGTAAATTTATGACTCAAATAATATACAAACCCCCTTCTGTTGAAAAATACAGCGTTTCATTTTCAATAATTTTGCTGTGACAACTCTGAAGGTGTTCTCTCAGATGTGCAGTGTATTTAAAAGAAGTTTGGCAGTTGTCTTCCAGGCATTTGCTAAGATATTTATGGAAATCATTATCTTTATGTAGGTTTTCCATGTGTTTATTAAGCTGTATCTTTCTTGCAAACACTTTAGAGCACGAATTGCAGACAAACGGCATTGTAACGTCCTGTCGTTAAAACCACTACACAACACAGATCAAAAAACTACACAAAAACAAAGTAAAATGTTACACAAAACAAAGCAAAATGCTAATTAGCATAATATAACAATTAACCAAACACACCGAAATCAACAGGTTACTCTAAACCACTTATTACTCAATGCTCTAAACCATATAAAACGCTAGACCATAGAAAAAGTAGATTAGGTTAGACTAGCTATTTTAGGTTATGTTGAAATTTGAACATTGCGTACGATTTGGCAACGCAGCTGTATTTCTTCAAACTTCTAGCCGCTCCTATACTTACTTACCTTGGTAAGTATATGGAAAAAAAGCACAACTTGCGCCACCTATACAAAATAGTTCGAATAATTTATTAAAATCAAAAGTAGATGTTATTTTTATTCCACTTTTGTTGTTCCTTAAATGTAGAGGTCGCTTTTTGTATATAGGCAACCCAGTTTACATTTAAATTCTATCATCTATGATTGAAATATGGTAACATTGCGCTTCTAGAAAAACATAACCTCATATTTATAACCTTCAATTCTCTCGTTTTCGAGTTATTTCAACAAATAGTTAAGTTGCTCGCGAAATAATGGCAACTTTATCACGATTTGGTCGCTTGTGTAACTTAAGATATGCAGCGAGTTTTGCCAGAAGGCAAAGCCCTATTATTAATAATTTAGGCGTCAACTCTAGTAAGTTCCATATTTTTCATTATTAAAGACATTTTCTTAAATTTCATAGTTTTCATTATTAATTATACATTTTTAGGTGCAACAAAACAATTAAGATGTCTTTCAACTGAAACAGTGAAAGAAGCAAGTAAAGAGGAATATCATTCCATTATTTCAAATAAAGAAAAAGCCACTGGTAAAGATACTTAAGCATGATTATTTAAGTAGTATTTAACTAATAAATTTTTAGGTGAAAGCACCAAACATGAGTTTCAAGCAGAGACTCGCATGTTATTAGATATAGTGGCCAAATCGTTGTATTCTGAGAAGGAGGTGTTCATAAGGGAATTGATTTCCAATGCAAGTGATGCTTTGGAAAAATTTCGTTACATTAATGTGTCAGGTTCAGAGGAAGCTAAAAGTCTTCAAGATGTTGATCGTTCCTTAGAAATTCATATATCTACAGATAAACAAAACCGACTATTAATTATACAGGTGAACAAATTTTAAGAGTTGTAAGAAATTTTATAGATATAACATTATTTTAGGATACTGGAATTGGTATGACTAAAGAAGAATTGACTGCTAATTTGGGTGTCATTGCAAAATCAGGTTCAAAAGTAAGTAAATAATTGATAATTATGTAATCAACAAATTTTAATTAAAATTATTAGGCATTCATTGAACAAATTAATTCCAAAGAAGTTAGTGGAGATAATAACATAATTGGACAATTTGGAGTGGGCTTTTACAGTGCCTTTATGGTAGCAGACAAACTTGAGGTTTACTCTAAATCTTCCAAAGAAACTCAAGGATACAAATGGAGCTCTGATGGGTAAATATTGTTTTAAAATAACTTAAAAGTCAGTCAGCAAATTTTTAAATAATGAATGTTTTTAAATTTATTTATATAGGGTGTCCTAAAAATGGCAACAATCAGCTGAGGTTGACAAGTTATTTGGTTATCAAGCATTTAAGTTTAAAAAAACATCTCCATAGGTAGGTATATATTAAAAATTCACACAAAATAACCGCAGGGGGTATGAAGTTGAGCGCCATTTTCGTGACACCCTGTATATTATATTTTCTTAATAGTAAATGGATAAGGTTTATTGAAAAGGAACCAAGCGCCAAAAACTTTTTCTGGGCTTAGTAAAATTATTTGTTAAATTACTCATTTTAAATAATGCTCAAAAGTTTGATCATCATTTGGAACTCAAAAGGATTGAGAGGGTTCCCAAATCATTATTATTTTTTTGAGCAGCATGAGTTATGAGGTATTTTGCAAATAATTTTGTTTACCCTAGAAAAAGTTTTTGGCGCTTGGTTCCTTTTTGATAAACGTTATCCAAATAATAATGTCTTTATCAATAAATTTTTTTATAGTAAAAATCAATTTTCTTATCAATAAAAAATTATTTTCATTTCAAAACTTTTATTACATGTATATACAGGGTGTTTCACATTTGTGGTTCATTAGAAGTTCTGTAGAACGAAAAAAGATATCGATTTAAAATTTTTAAAAGCGTCTGTAATCAATTTAAATCTATTTTTCTAAAATATTTAAAACAAAATGCCACTTCCGGTTTAACCGGACGTGTCATCAACTTTGTTATTTTAAATGGAACACCCCATATATTTTTACATTTTTATATACGAGGTGTGTTCAGAAAATATCGGGAATTTTCGTTTTTTGAAACTTTATTTTAGGGAATAGGAAAAAGTCAGACAGAGGCCTGTCTGGCGAATAGGAAGGCTAGGGCAACATTACAGTATTGTTTTTGGCCAAAAATTTTGTTCAAAATTTAACAATTTTAGAACAAATTTTGCTGCCACGCGTTTCATACCCAAAACATTCGAAAAAATTTCATGGGATGAGCCAATCGATATACCAACATCATCAGCGACTTCTTTGATGGTTTATAACCATTTCTTCCACTTTTTCCATGTTTTTATCGGTTGTTAATGTGCTTGGGCGTTCGGGGCGTTCGTCATCTTCAACGTCTTCACGGCCATCTTGGAAACTCTTATACCACTTGAAAACTCTGGTTTTACTTATAGCAGACTCACTATAGGCCTTTGTTAACATTTCACAGAATTTATTTATTTTTTTAAGCAAAATTGGACACAAATTCTTTGATCCATTTCTTTTAACGAACGAAAAATCGCCGAGTTCATAAAACACGTCTAACCTTGGCGGTTGCCACAGACAAAGTAAACAATGAAAAACAGCTAAAGTTTTTATCATACTTCGGGGGCATGTATACCAACATAATAAAGAAAATTTTATGACAACCGGACCCTCTGAACCGCGAAATTTAACAATTCCCGTTATTTTCTGAACACACCTCGTACATGCAATTCTGAGTAAAATTACTATACCATGTCCTATACCTAAAGTAAATAGTTTTCGAGTTATTTTTTTCGTTAAAATTTAAGAAATGCTCGTCAATCAAAAATAGCCTATAACTTTTTTCTTATTAGGTTTGCAAATATGGGGTTGGAATTTTTGAAATCTTAAAACATTATTTAAAAGATTCCATATCAATCCTTTAACATTTTTTAACAATTTACCTGAGAAAACCCAGGGCAAATTAGGCTAACTTAAAAGGTTAATAACTTTTTTATTTTAAATGTAATACCCGGTATGTTTTAATATAATCAAATAGTAAATTAAAAAACCTTTCGAATGTTTTTACTATTCCCTATACCTAAAGTTAATAATTTCAGAGATATTTAACAATTTCTAAAATTTTAAATATTATTTTGTATCAAGAAACCTGTGACGGGTGAATTGACGGTATCTATGGTTACCACTAGGGGTGTCAATCCCGGGATCCCGAAATCCCGGGGTCCCGGGATCCCGTAAAAAATCCGATCCCGAAAATCCCGGGATTAAAAGTCCCAATCCCGGGATCTTAGTAATAAGTTACAAAGAATAAAATAGACTTTTTTTAAGCGTATGACATTTTTTATATTATAATACTCATAAGCATATATATAAACACTTAATTTTTTTACTCAGTTCAAGTCAAATTATTATACACCACCGTACAATAATGAAAATACATTGAAATAGCATAGCAAGAGTGGTTCCATCTATAGCATAAAATCAGCAAAGAAAATTTAAAATTACAGGTCACTGTAGAATAAATTTATGTACATATCCTATAATATAACATATTTCAAACGCCAAACCTGAAAAAATGTCTCAAACTTGATAATTTCAATGTAAGTTACAGCCCCAATTGGAACTCACCAAGGCCCGATTGATAAAAGAAATGGAATTATTTGTTAATGGGGGTTAATGTGGGTTTCAATGTGCAGGCTACGAATTCTTGAAAACCATTCTTCCGACTAGTGTGAAGTCCGAAAGATATCGTTCGTTAGTTTGTTTGTTTTATTTTAAATTAGTTTTAAAATTAATGATATATATTTTCTCGGGACTGATCCCGGGATCCCGGGATTAGTTACCTTTGGTCTCGAAATGCCCGGGATTGGAAAATGGGCTCGGGATTGACACCCCTAGTTACCACGTAATTTGTCATTGTTTAAAATGTAATGGCGCCAATTTTTCAGGTTGTTATAAACAATTTGTTAACTAATTGTTTTACAAAATAATATTTAAAATGTAAAAATAAATGGGGTGTTTCATTTAAAATAACAAAGTTGAACTTACTTCCGGTTAAACCCGAAAAATAGACTTAAATGGATTATAAACGCTTTTATAATTTCAAATTAATATCTTTTTTCGTTTCCCAGAAACTTCTAATGGACCACGAAAGTGAAACATATAATGTTATCTTTGTTATTTGTTAATTATTAAACACACATTTCTAATATGTAAAAAGTTTTAGTGATAAATTTAGAATTTCATGGGTATGTTTAGCATACACTTTGTAACTTTTATAAATCAATATCTATCTTTAAAAAAAAATTGTTTATAAAATTTTATTAAAAATCTTATAGAATTTGAACTTCATGTTTTAGCACTGGGACATACGAAATTCAACCGGCAGAAGGCGTCCAATACGGAACAAAAATAATAATCCACCTTAAAAATGATTGCCGCGAATTTTCCGATGAGGAAACACTTAAAAGTATTATAACAAAATACAGTAACTTCGTTGGTTGTCCTCTGTTTTTAAATGGCAAAAAAGCCAATATTGTAGCACCTTTATGGTTATCTGAACCCAAATCCATCACGGCACAACAACACAGTGAATTTTATAGATTCATAAGTGGAAGTTATGATATTCCCAGATATACACTTCATTACAAAACAGATGTTCCTTTGTCTATACGCGCACTTTTGTACTTCCCTGAAGGAAAACCAGGTATGTTTAACATTTAACAGTTAATTATAAATTATCACAACAGATAGTAGCTTTTCTTGTTCTCATTCCAAATCTCATATAATTATAGAAATGGTAATACTAATATATTGATTTGTTTAAGGTCTATTTGAAATGTCCAGAGAAACAGAATCAGGTGTAGCTTTATACACAAAAAAGGTCTTAATTAAAAGCAGAACAGACAATATTTTACCAAAATGGTTAAGATTTATTAAAGGTGTTGTAGACTCAGAAGATATACCTTTAAACTTGAGCAGAGAATTACTCCAAAATAGCGCCCTTATTAGGTAAAAAAAAAACACAGTTTTATAATAAAACATTATTATTAACAAGTACCATTTCAGAAAACTGCGTGATGTATTGACAACCAGAGTACTTAAATTTTTGTTGGATCAGCTCAAAAAAAATCAGGCGGAATACGAAAAGTTCTATGTAGACTATGGACTTTTCCTCAAAGAGGGCATCATAACAAATCACAATCAAACAGAAAAGGTAGGTCTTATCAATTATAAACTTCGCTTTCGGATCTTGGCTCATCATTGTCATTCTTATCGTTTTCTTCCAATACCACGGTGCTTTGAGTTAAACTATCATCGACTAGTAAGTCTCTGTTTTGCAGATTTCCCATCCAATTACACTGAAGGGAGGTAAAAATTTCACAGTTAAACGCTACGTGTCCGAGCGACTTAATTTTTGGTCGTAGATTACAAATCCGTGCTTGGTTTAGCTGTATCAGGTCAAAATTCAAAGATATTAAAATCACCCTGTATAAATTTAAACACCCTGTATAAATATAAAAAAATTAATTTGGCTGGATCCACACATCAGTTCCAAATTAAAAAAAAAACAAATTATTGCAAAATTTGAAGTTAATTGATCAAAAGGAACAGGGGTCCCTGAGAGTTTTTTATAGATAATTTAGGAAATTCAAAATGTTTTTTTGCTATTTTTTTTATTGAATATAATTGAGGATAATATCATAATATTATTATGTTTATTGAAATAAAAAGCATAGGAATTTAGGCACAAGAGGTGAAATACAATATTTTAAAAATGTGATATTTCAAGAGTTGAAAATTTACCTACAGTGTTATTAGCAACTAGCGCTGCTTTTACCCTGTTTATAGGGTTAGTCTAAATTATGAAACAATATATATATATATATATATATATATATATATATATATATTAGGGTGTCCCTTATTTTTATTTTTTTTACGCATACCCTCTAATTATATTTATTACGTGTTTAAATACTCCCAGTAAAAATTTCAGCTCATTCTATAAACGGGAACCCGTGCCGACTTGCATCTGAACCCTCCGTTAGCCAACGTTAGGCGCGCGGTATTTTGTAACACGGTTGGTCGCGAGGTCTTCGATCGTAAGTCATTTTGTGTTTGTTATTATGTTACCCTTATATTATAAATTATTGACAAATGTTAAAATATAATTTTATTTATGTGTATACTTTGATAAAAATGTATATTTTCACAGGGAGTGGCTAGTTACCCGGAAGGGTCTGGTGAACTCTGAAATTGATAAACTTAATGGGTTTTACTCTAAATAACTAAAAGAGTATATTGTGAGAGATGACTACCAAAAATTTATTGAACTGTCTGAAATATTTTTGGGAGGACGTCAAGAAAAGAAATGCTTATAAAAAGCTGAAATTTCATATAACAGTATATTTTAGCAATACTAATTAGTATATTAATATATTTAAGGGATAAAATCAACTAAATTAGTGAAAGAAATGATAGAAACAAAAGCAATAATATTAATTAATAATCATATTTAATAAAATCATTAGAAAAATACAGTCATGAACTATATCTTCTTTTTAAAGTGTTTCGTGTTACAAAATACCGCGCGCGCCTAACGTTGGATAACGGAGGGTTTAGATGCAAGTCGGCACGGGTTCCCGTTTATAGAATGAGCTAAAATTTTTACTGGGAGTATATAAACAAGTAATAAATATAATAAGAGGGTATGCGTAACAAAAATAAAAATAAGGGACACCCTAATATATATATATATTATTTGTTTATCTTTGGTTACTTTGTAAAAACAACATAAATGATGTAAAAACAATATTCCATATTATCGATAATACGTCATCGGGATTCTTAGCCATGCGGCAAAAATTTAGTTATGGCAATGGATTAAAAAAAAACTAGTTAAGTTGGTTTTAGATTCATGTATTTCATGGACATGGCTGGCTTTGGTTATCCATAATTACAAATGTTTATCATTGGTTATAGATGGTACTGTACCATTGTACATTTGATTTGACACTGTTATGAAGAGCTGTACAAACTACTGAGTAAAATAAATCCAGATGGTTAGTTTTAAAGAGCTCCATTGGTGACTTATTTTCTCATAAGAGTTTCTATAGTTTTTTTTCAAGCTTAGACGTTGCATGTAACATAAACAAATTAATAAATCCAGGTTTGTGGTCAGCTGGGCTTTTAACTCCAAGCTCTAGATATAATTTTTGATGTTTTATGTTTACAATTTAGTGATTTAGTGATAATTTAGTGAAAATCACTATTTTGTTAGAGCCTTTTTCATTATCAACTGACATCATTAATGTATTGTTTTGTATCCTAGTGTCCGCCAGTAATACCAGAAATATTTATAAAGAAAAGCCAATATTTTGTCTTGGAGTTGCGTTCTTATAGTTGAATCCAACTTAAAAGCATTAAGATAATCAACAGCCAGTGGCGTGCCCAGAGATTTTGTCTGGGGGAGGCGGGGTTTTAGCGTATGGAAGAGGTTTAGAAAGGGAGGGGGGAGAGAAAAAATCTAAGATTGGTTACAAAAACCCTTGCGGAAATTTTTTTCTGAAAAAGTTTTAATAAGTAAAAGTAAGAGTTTTGAAAGACTTTCTTTTTCTTAAAAACTCTGAATAAGTCTTATTAAGTCGGAAAAAGTCAAAATAAGACTTATTAAATCGGAAAAAGTCTGAATAAGTCTTAGTAAGTCAGACTAATAGCAAGATTTGGGAGTCTTCTGGAAGAGTTAATAAGACTTAGTAGGACCTTTAGCAGAGAAATGGTATATAAAATTATTAAAATAAATATACGGAATTATTCAGAGATGTGGTATTTGGTTATTGCAAAAAAAAAAAAAAAACACTGTTTTTGTGTTGTTATAAGGCTTATAAAAACACGAAAGCAATGTTTATAATATAGGTAAGCAACGTTAACTTCATTTTTTTACAATTTAACAGTTGAAACATACAGCCCGTTCAGAGTAAAACCGAATATAGGGAAACGTATAGGGCGACGCCTCGCCTCCCTCCAACGCGCGTCACAGTAGCTAAGCAAATAGCCTGTATCGCTAATGAGATTTTTTGCATTATTATCATTTAATTTTTAAGGTCGTCTTACCTGCTCGACCTTTCGTCATGTCGTTTATCACACAAGCCACTGTGACGCGCGTTGGAGGGAGGCGAGGCCACGCCCAAAACGTTTCCCTATATTCGGTTTTACTCTGAACGGGCTGGGCTGTACGTTTGGTTTTGTACATACAGATCCCTTGTTTATTACATAAGGTATAATAACTATAAGAATACTTTGAAACGCATGATTTGATCGACAGTTAAACTCATAAAACAAATATGATTGATCTTCGAGCTGCTTGTGTGTTTGTCAGAGATAAAGAAGGTTGTCAAGCACTGTTTGATGTGCAGTGTTGCCGGATAAATGTCATAAAGGTGCCTGACCAAAAATTACAAAATACCAAAAAAAACTAGTTTTATTTTAAATTTACTAGCGCATTCGCCCTGCTTTGAAAAATAAATTAAATAATTCCAATGTTATATAAGTCAATAAAAATGTAACAGGATATAATAAAATAATTGTGCATAGGGGCCGTTCAAGTATTACGTAAGCACTATAGTGGGGCGGGGGGTCTTTGCTTCGTTTATTTATGATGACATGGGTGGGGGTCTAGATGGTGATTACGTCAGCAGTAGTTATTTACTTTTTTACACATATGGCAACGACACATTGTCTATGCTTGAAAACGAAAAGAAAAATGCATATACCAATGATTACGTAAGCATGGGAGAGAGGGGGGTAAGAGATTTGATTACTTTTGCTGACAAGGAGGAAGGGGGGAAACTAATTATAGTAAATCTGCTTACGTAATACTTGAACGGCCCCATATTTAGTAAATATACAATATTATTTACTGAAAATTTCTTTAGTCATTATTTTAATCGAAATTTGCAAAATACCTACCCGATTTTACCCGCTTCAAAATTCTACCCGCATGACGAAAATAACCTATTTTCGAGTAAAATACTTGCAAACGGCAACAAAGAGTCGAACTGACAGAAGAAAGATGCATTAATTGGTCAGCTGAGAAAATCGATGTTGCGTCTAGAACTTGTGTTGTTGTTTTGGAACCATTGTTTGGAACAATGGTTAGATGAATACCTATTTGCGTATATACAGGGTTGGGCAAAAGTATGGAATAATGGAAATAATTTTTTCCAGGTCAGGTCCTGCAAAAAACGCTCGGACACGTCAAATTTACTTTTTTCCAAGAATTTTTTTGACATTTTTTTCATATTTATACCTTTTTTCCTTTTTACAGAATGACGTAACTGTCAATTTATTTAAATGGTAACCCCCAATTTTTTACAGAAATGGATAGACTAATTAATTCTGGTTTCAAAAATATGTATATTAAGACTGATTGGACTTATAGTTTCTAAAATAATAACTTTTTAAGTTGGAATAATAGGACAAGTAATTTTATTTTAATTTTACAAAGAAAATCGCAGTTGTCTTTGACAAAAACAAAACAGGCTGGTAACCAAGTTGAAAAACATGACAACTGTCAATTTTTCGCTATTTTGAAAGAAGCAGTGCTTCAATTCTTTACATAAAAGTTTTTTAAAATTCAGATTAACTTGAAAGTCAAAGGAAAAATGGTACAATTGACTGAAAAAAAAGGACTGATATTCTAACCATGGTTGGATTTGGAGACCGGAAGAGAACGCAGCAAGAAGTATGCCGCTTATTTAATGAAGCCTATCCCAACCGTGCGCCGATCTCGCAATCTTGTATTTCCAAAGTGTGAAAAACGCAAAAAAATCAGGCCGACCCAAAACAGCCACCAACGAAAATTTGGCATTGAATCTTTTGTTAGAAATAAACTGCGCACCACTCAATGTGTCGCGACCAAAAAGTTCGTTCTTTTTCAAAACGACATAACTTTTTTGTTTCTTGAACGATTTAATTTTGGTTTGTGATGTCTGCTAGCCTCATCCTCTGACAATTTATGCTATAGATATGAAGCTCACGGTTGGTCAAGTAAACTTCCTACAGGGTGATATGTTAAACGGTGAAAAATTTCAATAACTTTATCCAAGCCCCGTTTGTAAAAAAATATTTTTTTTTCGTTTTTACTTTGAAATAATGAAGTATTATGTGTTACTTTGAAACCTTTTTCAAATTTTTCGAATTGGAATCTAAGCAACGAAATAGGCTTTTTTTAGGCAATACACTCAGTCTTTTTAGGAACAAGAAGATAAGATGGTGAAAGATTGTTCCTTAAATAATTGACAAGCAACAAACTTCTATTATTTTCAGAGGGCCTAAGCTAAGACCACTTTTTGAAAATGACATTTTTGTGAAAGTTTGCAAAAACTAAACCTAAACCGATATTTACTTTCTTAAAATGTTTTCTTCATAATTTTGACCTCCTGATTGTGATTTAGTTGTCAAATTTAAGTTTCAAATAAAACAAAAATCACTACGAATCAAAATTCGAAAACAATTCCCGGCTGTTAAATGTGTCAATAAAATCCGATTGCTGGTTTTTACTGTTTTTCACATATCGCTTATGAGTATTTAAGGGATTGAGAAAATTAATTGGCCACCTTTGTCTCCGGATATGAATCCTATTGAGCATGTGTGGAGCAGGATAAAATTAAAGATGAAAGAGAGGGAAGGAGGCATGGAAAATTTGGATGAATTGGTAAATGCTATTCAGGAAGAATGGGGTATCCCAGAAATTTCTAAGGAACTTGGTCGAGGGAATGCCCAGGAGGGTTAACGAATTCTTACGGCTTAGGGAAGGGCCAACGAAATATTGAAAGGTTTTTCTGTTGAATGTTGAAGTTTTGATTATGATTATATCTACGCATACAATTTTCAAAAATAAACAAAAATATTTTTATTTAACTTTATTATAAATTATAATTTATAATAAAGTTAAATAAAAATATTTTTGTTCATTTTTGAAAATTGTATGCGTAGATATAATCATAATCAAAACTTACCTATAGGTAGGTAATTATTAATGATGTTATCACTATTGCACAATGTAAATGTAAGTTATGTAACATTATCCTAACCACTCAAACAAATTGCAGTAATTTCGCCCAAAAAATGAATCCCCATCATCATAAATATGCAAGAAACACGACAGCAATCGGTTTTTATTAAGACATTTAACAACAGGGAATTGTTTTCGAATTTTGATTCTTGATGATTTTGGTTTTATCTGAAACTTAAATTTGACAACTGAATCACAATTAGGAGGTAAAAATTATAAAGAAAACATGTCACGAACGTAAATATCGGTTTAGGTTTAGTTTTCGCAAATTTTCACCAAAATGTTATTTTGAAAAAGTGGTCTTTGCTTAGCCCCCTCTGAAAATAATGGAAGTTTGTTGCTTGTCGCTTGTTCAGAATTATTTAAGGAACAATCTTTCACCATCTTATCTTCTTGTTCCTAAAAAGACTGAGTGTATTGCCTAAAAAAAGCCTTATGCCGGTTTTCCACCAAACGGACAGTTGAGTTTGGGTTTTGTTTGTGTTTTTAAAAACTTGTAAATCAAAAACAAAACTGAAACAAATCCGAAACTCTTGTTTCCATCAAACAAACTAAGTTTTGTTCGAGTTTTGTTTTTGTTTTCGGTCCTTTTCCACTAGTTGTCGTGATTATGTCAGAACACACTTTTTCAGTATCAACCAACATCTTTAGAGAAAAAGATTTTCTTATTCTTAGTTGTGGCTGGTTTATACTTCTTCGTGAATAACTTTTGAAGAATTAAATTAATTAAAACATCAAATTATGACTAAAAATAGCGATGAAATAAAATTAATATTAATATTAAGGGCTCAAATTTTCACCAAATTTTTTTTTATTCATTCTGAATGACATTCTCGATATATTTAAAAAAAAAATAGTCAATTTTTTTGGCCCAGTCTAATATATATATATATATATATATATATATATATATATATATATATATATATATATATATATATGTGTATATATATATATATATATGTGTATCTATTAAACTTATCCATGACATTTTACTGCCGAGGCAGTAGGTTGTGTGCGAGGTAATTAATAAGCTTTCGCCGCCGTGTTTTATATACTATTTTTTTTTAAGCTCTAAATTTCGATATTTTTTTGAAATTTTGTAACCTCATTTTTAGGTTAGGTTTAACTGTCAGACGACAAAATGTCACCATTATTGTTCGGCGGTCAATAATAATTTGACTTTTGAACTAGTACAATAATGTAGTGACTACTAGTTCAAAAGTCAAATTATTATTGACCGCCGAACAATAATGGTGAGATTTTGTCGTCTGACAGTTAAACCTAACCTAAAAATGAGGTTACAAAATTTTAAAAAACTACATTGTAGTATTTCTATATAGACTTATGAGGAATATAATATGAATATTATTATACACTTGGAAAAAATATGTTTCTTACTTACCTACCAATTTAGTATGAAATTCGTATCCAAAAATTTAAAAAAACTACATTGTAGTATTTCTATATAGACTTAAGTCATAAGTGTTGTGTTTTTTGTTTTCGACTTTTATTTTATTTTGTTAGTCTGGATACGAATTTCATACTAAATTGGTAGGTAAGTAAGAAAGATATTTTTTCCAAGTGTATAATAATATTCATATTATATTCTTCATAATTATGAAGAATATAATATGAATATTATTATACACTTGGAAAAAATATGTTTCTTACTTACCTACCAATTTAGTATGAAATTCGTATCCAGACTAACAAAATAAAATAAAAGTCGAAAACAAAAAACACAACACGACCATTTCCACTAAACAGACTCGAGTTTCAAAACACGTCGAAACCTTTTGATGTTACCGCTTTCGAGCGGGACTCGAAAAACAAAACTCAAACTGTCGCAAAACACGCCAGTCTTCAAAAAGTTTGCAAAAAGTTGCAGTTTTGTTTTATTCGACACGAGTTTGTGTTTTGTCCGTTTGGTGGAAAACCGGCATTAAATGTACTCTTTTGGAAAAAAAATCATATTTTCGTTGCTAAGATTCCAATTCGAAAAATTTGAAAAACGTTTCAAGGTAACACATAATACTTCATTATTTCAATGTAAAAACGAAAAAAAAATTATTGTTTTACAAACGGGGCTTGGATAAAGTTATTGAAATTTTTTACCGTTTAACATATCACCCTGTAGGAAGTTTACTTGACCAACCGTGAGCTTCATATCTATAGGATAAATTGCCAGAGGATGAGGCTAGCAGACATCACAAACCAAAATTAAATCGTTCAAGAAACAAAAAAGTTATGTCGTTTTGAAAAAGAACGAACTTTTTGGTCGCGACACATTGAGTGGTGCGCAGTTTAGAAAATGCTCCAAGAACATCCAGCAGCGACCTTGCACGAAACCATAATATTTCAAGAAGGTCAGTTGGTAGAATTTAAAAAAAAGAAAAATGTCACCCTTACAAAGTCCACTTGACACAAGAATTGACTGAAAATGACTTTAATAGGAGGCTACAATTTTGCGAAGTTATGCAGAGCATGTGGCAGGAAAATCAAAACTTTTTAAATAAAATATTGTTTTTTGATGAGGCTACCTTTATGCTGTCAATAGATATAACTGTCGATACTGGTCCCAGCAAAACCCTCACTGGATGATCGAATTTCGCACCCAACGACCTCAAAAACTAAATAGCAATAATCAATCACTTTAGTAGAGTGTGTTGACAATAATAAAGTTTAAATTATAGAACGCTTGAAGATAAAAACATTTTTTTGTAGTTTATAGTAGTTGTTTAATAAAGAAACTAAAATGTAAAAAGATATAATATCGCGCCCCAGATAAAGGTTTGAAAAAAAATGGTGCCAAAATGTATGTACTAGTACATACATGTTGCCATATTATTTATTTTAAAAATAATTTAAATTGTAGGAAGATGCTGCAAAACTCCTTCTTTTCGAGTCGTCGCACATGGAATCCGGCAAAAAAGTTACTCTTACTGATTACATTTCTCGTGCCAAAGAAAATAGAACTATTTTTTACTTAGCTGCTCCAAGGTGAAAATTGGCAAAAGATTACAAAACACAAATAAAATAATGTGTTTGTATATTTTAGCCGAGCATTAGCAGAAGCCTCACCCTACTACGAATCATTGAAGCACAAAGAGCAAGAAGTCCTTTTCTGTTATGAACCATATGATGAGCTGGTTCTTATGCAACTGCAACAGTTCCAGGGCTACAAACTTACATCAGTTGAAAAGGATATGAGGGACGATAAGGCTGCCAGTGATCTTACTAATTTAGGTAATTTAAATTGGCATTAATAGTACTTTATGTCATTAGGTCAAGAAGTGAGTCTTTTTGTGCTGAGTTTAAAGGCCGACGCGTAGTGGAGGCCAACCATTGAGCGAAGCACAAGAGGACACTTCTTGGCCGAATGGTATACAACAATTTATTTTCAAGGCACAATTTTATTTGTTAAACAATACAGCCATTCCACGTTACTCGGGAATTTTTATAGCGTCCGTTACAATAAAAAATTGTGAGTTAACTACCGTAATTATGATGCTTATAAGCTTAAGCCTAATTATTACAAGCATAATAAACATGTTTGCAATAGTAACTATTGTAATAGTATTTAATTTAATTACGATAGCTTTTACTCACAATTTTTTATTGTAACAGACGCTACAAAAGTTCCCGAGTAGCGTGGAATGGCTGAATACTGGCTTACCAACACGCATTTTTACACCCAGAGTGTCCGGGTTGGCCCTTGTTTCTCCACGCTTCGGGGGAATACATTTTCACTATATGTATAAAAATTATTTAATTATTTTTTACTCGAATTGCGAGATGTTATCTGCTTGCTTTACGAAAGTTTTCATTTAATAGGAACATCAAAGTGTTTGATTTTCACAATTCTCTTATATCTTTATAGTATCATATAAAAAAATTTTTTTTATTTTTTTTATCTAAAACATGTATTTTTTTCTACTCCCACCTTTAAAAATGCCCTTTATCGTACATGTTTCCATGACACTAAGTGACCTTTTAAATACACATTGACAAGTTGTGGCTTTATGACGCTTTAGTCACGGGCTGAAGTTAGCAACAGGTTTTTAGTCACGGGCTGAAGTTAGTTTTAAGTTAGTCGACAGTTGTCAAATGTCATACCATCGTTAAAATAAATTGCCTTTCTTGTAAAATAATACTAAATGTGAAAATTATATTATTATTTCAATACAAAAATACAAAAGTATTAAATATTTTCTCAACGCCAATATTTGAAAAGTTTATATGAACATTGTACTGACCTTTTAATTTCGCCAGCAGTAAACTATAACATAAATTCGGGCACGGACTCCACTGTAAAGTGCTCATAAAACATTTTCTTTACTTTCACTGTGAAAAACTGTCAATTTTCTAGAAATACATTTCTATTTATAACCTTTATAATTGTTTATAAAATTTAAAAATTTGACATTTGACGGTGACACACAGATTCCCCTATTGTTTCATAGATGGCGCTCTATACAAATTTTTGAACCCAACCCTACTTCTTCACGATAATAATAAGTATTTGTCGTAGAAAAAGTGTAGTTTATAAACTTTTCTATACACTCATTAATTTAAGCACTCGCTCGCAAGCTCGCTTGTGCCTAAATTAAATTCGTGTATAAAATGGCGTTTATCAAACTTGATACATAAGATACTATTTTCTAATCCTACCTTTAAAACGCCCATTATCGTACATTTTTCCATAACACTAAGTGACCTTTTATACACATTATGACATTATGGCGTTTTAGTCATGGGCTGTATTTAGCAACAGGTTCTTATTCACTGGTGAAGATCCCTTCTTGTAAAGTAATACTAAATGTGAAAATTATTTTATTATCATAATATAAAAATACAAAAGGAATAAATAGTTTCTTAGCGCCAATTTTTAAAAAGTTTATATTCGTTTTGATTTCGCCGGCAGTACACAAGATTTAACTGCTTCTACATAGATCGGATTTAGTTAGTCCATTTTCAAGGGATAAATTTCGATTTACACGTACAAATTTGACATTTGACATCCCATACAGGACACATATTAAAATGATTACTCTATTGTATTATAGATGCCGCTCTGTACAAATATTTAATTTAAATCATATTTAGATAATAATAAGAATTGTTGTTGTTGTTGTTGTACAAAAACTATAGTATGCAACTCATTTATAAACTTGTCTATATACTGACTCGCTCGCAAGCTCGCTCGTGCCTAAATTAAATTCGTTAAAATGGGGTTTATCAAACTTAGTACATAATATACTATTACATGTCAAAAACATTTTTCTAAAGTCAATCAGTTTAAAACTCTAGGAGATAGAGCCTTTGGAAACTCCTTCCATTAGGCTTGTTCTATTAATACTTGGAACTTCCAAGTATAATTGCTTTTTTCTCAAAACTCTATTTTTTAAAGTCGGTAGGCTCTATTTCTCCAAAACTAAACCGACCGATCTCATTGCAATAGATGTAAATGACTAGTGACTGAACGATTCTTTTACAATAATTATTTTTGATGCTAGATTGTGAAATGCCACTTTTGCATTTGAGAATAAAAAAATCATTCGAGAATGCAAAACAATTTCGCAATCGAGTATCAAACAACATTTATAAACAGTAAATTACTAAAAATGTGAAGAAAATGATTTGAAAAGTATTTTGCATAAATAGCAACAAATATAAAATACTTTTATGTTCTGTATACAAAAAGCTGTTGTTTTGTCAACGTTTATTAAAAGTTTAAGAAAAATAACTATTTTTGCATACAACTAAAGAATTCAATATTTTTTTTAAATCCATATAGTTAGGAACTATATTCACCTACTAATAGAAAATATTTGTTTTTCTGATTTTGGAAAAAGCTATTTAGAAAACTTTTTATCAAGGTTCTTTTATGTTCTTAAAAGTTTAAATAAAATAATTCATTTCTTATTTAAAAAAAAAACGAGATATTATGCTATTTTTTATTAAATATTTGAAACCAATGTAACACCTTTAATAAAAATATTATTATATCGTTGGTTAAACGGCAAAAGCGCCTATAGGATTATAATCCACAATTTTTACAACGAAAATATAATATATTATATTATATATTATATTGGCTTGGGTAAATATTACAAAGAATATTCTTTGTAAGCTACATTTTAATTAAATCCGTCTTACATAAAAAGTTATACCAATAAATGGCTCAGTGGGTAAGGCCCTTTTGCCGTTTCGATATCTGGTACAGCAATCAGAAACTTATTCTAAATTATAAAATTTTAATATTTTAGGTGACGATAGTTTAAAAAGAAGTGAAATAAATGAACTATCAGGTTGGATAAAAAGCAAACTACTGGGAAAGGCAGCAGATGTAACTGCCACCACAAGATTGGAGAGTCATCCATGTGTGGTGACTGTGGAGGAGATGGCAGCAGCCAGACATTTTATAAGGACACAAAGCCATCAGTTACCCGAAGACAGAAGATACGCCATTTTACAACCCAAGTTGGAATTAAATCCAAAGTAAGGAGTCCATTTTGTAAAATGCAATCTTTTGTTTTTAGTACCCCATGTCGGTATCAGGCCAGTAAAATTTTTTCTGTTGTGACAATACAGATATTTTATAGTTTTTCTTAATTGAATATTCCAAAATATTAAAATCTATTTTGTAAATTTTTCAGGCATCCCATTATTAAGAAATTGTATAAACTAACTAAAGAAAATCCAGAATTGGCAGATCTGTTAGCTAAACAAGTAAGAACAATTCTCTATGATAAAAATAATCTTTTTAATAAACAAATTTTAGTTGTTCGCAAATTCAATGGTTGGAGCAGGTTTGGTGGATGACCCACGAGTCTTGCTAACATCCATGAATGATCTTCTAATTAAGGCATTAGAAAAACACTAATTCTACTTTAGTCCAATTGTCATTCCTTTTTATTGTTATATATATTTTTTTTGATTATATATTGTAATTTTAATAAAATATTAATTTATAAATAAAATTGTTTTATTTATTTAACAAGATGTTTTCAGTACTTACTGTAACTTTGGTATAATTAACATATTTTATTATTGCATTAATCTTTTTAACCAAGATTAAATTGCAAAAAATTATTGAAAATACATATTAAATATTAAAATGCATTATCTAAAATGTTAAAAAGTTAAACACATATGTATAGTATATGTAGGTAGGTATGCAATGTAGGTATACATATTATGTGTTTTATTAAAAAAAAATTGTACTGGTTAGAAATACAAAAAAATAATTGTTTGGTTTTTTAACCTGTTAATTATGGTACTATTTACCCAACACTCTGTATCTATGTGTATAGTGAAAAACATTTGACTGATCTATTTAAATTGTTTCTTATTCTGTAAAATGTAATAGGTACTTACTTTTTAAGACCAAACGTCAATTAAAAAATTAGTATTTACCTAAGTAGGTACCAAATACCTTTTACAAATGAACAAACAAAACACACTAGAATATTTATTAGTATGGGTATCAAAGGGTTCATAATACATATTTTATAATTAATACTGCTAATTAAGATCACCTTGAGATTTTGTTGAAATAATAAATTTACTTTAACGTATTGTATCCCTATCATTACCTAATATTTATTTGTTTCCTTAAACATATAAGATTTTTTTAACTTAATGGACCACCTTTAACGAAATATTTTTGTTATAATACCTAGGTAATAAATAAATAAATGTACTTAAGGGCACTCAAATTTCCAAGCTAAATAGATATTTATTTTAAATTTCGCGCTTCTTTAACGGAAGACATATAGGCTTTATAAAATTGTTTAAAAGTAATTTTTTTATGATTTTACAATAGAAAATTAAGGTTGAATATTTTATATTGGCAATCCCATTAATCGCATCTTCTTAGATAATTTTAAACGTTTCGTCATTTAGCAAAGACTGTATTCATAAATCGTCTCGAGACTTGAAGTGAAAGTGACATCACCAAATTATCGTCGACGAGCGCTTGCTATTGGTCGAAATTTGTCCTTAAACTTAAATCCAACCAATCAGCGCCGTCAAAAACGCCATACTCCACCTGAAAATTTCTTATCGTCATATGACCCATTCTTGCTGGTGGCAGTGTGTAGGCCATATTTGTCAGTGGGTTCGCTGGTTTCGTAGAGTGTTGTGCACTTTTTAGTCTGTTCTGACCTGTAAATACTCCTTTTTAATAGCCAAAATGTCGAGAAGCGATGAAAACCCAATCTACGGACCCTTCTTTGGAGTTATGGGTGCCGCATCCGCAATTATTTTCAGTTGTAAGTACTCGGCATATTATTGCCGCTGAAATATCGATTTTGTTTAATCACTATGCTATTTTGTAAAATACACTTTTAATCAAGTAGCTTATACTATAATTTGCTTTAAAACAAAAGAGAATTTTGATTAATTTATTATTAAATTATAATAATCATTGTTTCATGTGTAAGTGGTTAGAGCTGTCATGGGCGTAGTAAATTCATGCAAAATTCCATTTGATACAAAAGAACTCTGTAGTATATTAAAAAAATTCGCTAAAAACCAGCGTTAAAGGATTAAAATCATTTAAAAACCCGTGTTTTCATTTAAAAACTACTGTTTATTGGCCCACTTTATTAGTCACATGCTTTGACAGACCCACCCGTTCGTATGGATCTTAATATTTTTTAAGGATTAATTAATAATGAAAACGATTTCTTGTTTGATTTTAAAGCCATATTCTAGGTTATCTATATCAATACGACAAATTGCTCAATTAAACTTTAAATTCTAGAGATCTAGGTATTAGTTTTTATGTAGTATACCAACAGGTACCAAATTACAATTAATAGCAACTAAAGTTTTATAATATATTAATCAACGTAAAATATGATTATTATGCATAAAGTACCTGTTAAAAATTGCTCCAAAAGCATAACCTGTTGGAGAAGCATCTTCTTTTAATTAAAATCCAATAAGAATAATATTTAATATTATATATTTGTATACATGTTTAACGCCTTTGGAACAATTTTTAACAGTTTAAGTGTCAGTTTTTAACAGAAAAACATAAAATTTGGGTGTTGTCATAACCACCTGAGATTCATGTGACTTTCAAGGCTTAGGTATAATAATTACATCACATGGTTTATGGTTGATATTCAATAATATAAGACAATTTGATTGGTTTATAACGATTAGGTATGAGTTAATTGTGTTTTTTTAATAAAATTTGTGAAAAATTATGAGTCATGACTTTATACCTATACAGAATACTTTAGCCTCTACTTTAGCAAGGGTGTAGGGATTTATAGGCTTATTAAAAACAAAACCATTACTGGAATTTTTTTATAGGAATGTAAGTTAATATACCTAGGCAGGTATTATAATAATGTGATCTTTATTATCATGTGATAAACATTGTGACCACAAAATAATAACATGGTTGTCATGTATTTTAGTTTATATTTATCGTTATCAATAACCATATATTCTTTTTTTAAATAATCCTTTATTTTATTTCAAATATTTTAAATATGAACCAATTTCTTTAGAATCTTTGGTCAATCCTTGACTTGTTATAAATTTTGCGCAAACTACCTACAAGGTCAAGCCAAAGATGTCTGTTTATGTTTATATGTTATGTTTATGGGATTCCCTTTATAATACCACAGTATTATGTGATAATACCCAGCATGAATAACCAAGGTCCTCCTGTAATTTTGTATTTTGATATTTTTGCCGAAAATGGTGCACTGGGACCATACCACATAATATGCCTTGTAGGTCATTTTTAGTATAAAAACAATGTATTTCTAAGTAATTAATAAGTTTAAAAACCCTGCAAAAATGTCAAATCCCCATCTAATAGCGGTTGTTATGGATTTATATAATGCAAATTGTTTAAAAAATCATAACATTAAATTATCATAACTTTGTTATAATTAATAAAATAAAACTTAACGCATCATTAAAAATTTGTTTTACCTACACCTTTTATTCATAAAGTTATGACTTAAAAGCCACCCATTAAAAAAGGTTTTAATTTCATATTTTACTCAAATTGAGTAACTATAAATATAAATTCTCCAGTATGTCATTCTTGAGATACTTGGGTATACCTAAATTATTTAATTAAAATAAGGGATTTAATTTAATTTATGAAGATAATTTTATCAAAAAACTGTAATAAAGCTGTACAATTTCAAACATTCTAGATTTCTTAAGGTTTCATAAGACCAAACGTTATCTGTTGCAGATCATGTGATTTGAGTAAACACAATTTAAATTTTATATAACAAATTAATCATCTGGTTATTTGACGTCATTTAATCTTATACGACCGGCTTACTAGGTACTTAGAGTATAAAGCAAATTTGCATAATTACTTAACAGGCAACAAATCTGTAATGCATTAATGGTTCAAAGTATATCATGATCAATTGTTAGTAAACAACTTGGCTATTGTGTTTAATGGCATTTAAAAACAAATAGGTGACCAAATCAATTTTAATTGTCAATATTATTGACTAAGTAATATAACTTCTTATAAAACTTCTTAAAATAAAAAATTACTATCTATTTACAAAAAAAACAAGGTCGATAAGGGGTCGTAACCCTCCACTATGTAACTCATTAATGGAAATTTCAAATTTCCTGAAAAATTGAGGAACCTTTTTTTCTCCCATTGCATTGGTCGCACAATATACTATTAATTCCTAAGGGGACATCCATCCCCCTTGGTGAGATGTGGTAGACCCCCCTATTCCTCACGTGAGATTCTAGCCATTATCTTTCATTGCGGACAACATGATAAACTAAAAAAAATTGATTAGGTACTTTTTTTTGACAAATTTCAATTAATACTTATATTATATATATTTTAAATGACCCCCCTCCCTTAACATGAGATTTGGTGAGATTTTGCTAGACACCTCTCCCCTATTTTTATCTCACGTAATTAATTGGTCCCCTAAGTATATCGCGCTATTTAAATTTTTTTTTTCTTTAATCTTTGGGTACCTACATTACATTTATGCTAGGTATACATTGTAGCAAAGTTTTGACCCCATTCCCCCTAAACATGTAATTATGGAGGACCTAAATGTAGTAAAAAACATTATATTATTGTAATAACTCTGATAACAAAATTAAGTCTTAAAACGTTAAAATTTAAGATGAAATTGACCAAAATCGTCCTATTTAAAATTGCTCTAGTGGAGTTGAAGCTCTTCTAATGGTCATATATAGGGTTGGGAAAATTTCACTATTTGCTTGTACTTGAAATTTCACTTGAAATTTTCATGACATTTATGAAATTTATTAAAATTTCCTAAATTTCTGAAATTTCATGAAATTTATTGAAACTTTCAACAAAATAATCACTTTAAGTGTAATATATTAATATTGAAATAAGCCCACTCGGGGACCATGGCAAATTGCCTCTCTTACCTCCTACCCCTCTGTGGGCCCCTGCACCAATAATATAAATAGTAAATACCTATGTATGTTTACCACAAATTTCTTGAGATTTCCTTTTAAAATATTTTTAATAATTAATAATTTTAATGAGATTTTGCCACTTTATATTTATATATATTTATTATTTTTATATATTGTACTGAAATTTCCGATGCAATTATAGCAAAAGTAAAAGTTTAAATTAATCATGACTTTTAAAAAAATTTTAAAGTCTGATTTAATTTACAAATTAAATTGGTTACTGAATTAAATTATTTAAATTAATTTATGCATATAAGTAACAATAATTACTTATAGTGTATTCAAATCCAAGCCGAACTAAACAAAAACGCCCAGACGATTGATAACTCGTTCTTATTGGTCGATTTGGAAACTGTTGTAAATTATTATTAAAGGTCCCAGAGGAGGCCGCATGTGAAATTTATGCGAAATTTTCAGTAAATTGCGAAACTTTCAATGAAATTTCTGAAAGTTTCACAGGCAATGTTGAAATTTTCGGATTGAAATTTCATTTGAAATTTTTAAAAATTTCACTTCTCCAACTAAATGAAATATTTAAAGTTTGAAACTTTCAAAGTTGAAATTTTCATTTGAAAATTTCAACTGTCCCAACCCTAGTCATATATGATATAAGGTTATGTGTTGACCTCAGTGATAACCCTTTCGATGTAAAATGATTTTTCCCATTTAATTATTACGCCCATGGACACAATTTGATAAAATAGGGTTAACTTGCATATTTAATTTAAACTTTTGAGATAAAAAAGTAATTGTTATATTAAAAAAAATGTCAAAATACCATTTTTCCTGCAGGATCTCTAAAAAAATAAGATTTTTGAATAAAAAGAACAAGACATTTTAAGATTTTTCTTTTACAAGATTTGGAAAAATGAACTTTTTTGTCAAAATAACAAATAACAAAAATAAATTGTGAATAATAATAATATGTATATTTATGAATATATCAATCAATATATCTACTAATATCTACTTCCCCCTATGTCAGTGCATCTGTAAAATCCGCAAACGAGGAGATTGCAAACATGTTTTCATTCATCAAAATTAAAAATTGTTCTCTAAATCTGCTAATAAAGCACCAATTTTAAAACTTCCACTTTTTTATTCTTATTATATTATATTTCACTAGTAAAACAATAGACAAAAAGAATAGAATAATTTAAAACAATAAATTACAGCTATTTTTACTAGAGGTGGAGAACTATCGATGGCAACTATCGGACTATCGATAGTTTAACCACTATCGCCATCTATCGATAGTCAGAGGAATTTGAACGATAGTCACCGAAAATCGCCCGCTAAAAATTCATCGCCTTAAAGTTTCTAATTTTAATATATCATATTAAATATAATTAAAAATAAAAAATATTAAAAAAATAAGTAGAAAGTCACTAAATTTTAATTAAGAAAGCAACCTTTTTTACCGACTACATGACATTTGATGTGCGAAATAGTTATCTATATAATTTAAAGTCCGTTTGTGCTAGCATAACACAGAGGTTTTCTATGGGTATATGCGTGCAAGGGGTTCCCAAAAGTGTTCGTGATACTCGACCTGTGATTTATTTTTGTTTATTATTCCCCCAATATTAAATTTAAAACTATCGATAGTACTATCGATATTATCGATGGTGTTAGAATCGCACTATCGATTAATCGTAACCCAGCACTATCGATAGTTCTCCACCTCTAATTTTTACATACTGATGATACCTACATACTTACTAAATATGATTTTAAACATTGTTTACAAATTTAAAACGAAATAGGTATTAAATATTTTTATTTCAAAAAAATAAGAAACAAAGGAAAAATAATTTATTTGGCCAATAGTGAGGTTAATTTATTTTGACAGATGTTAGGTAGTATACAACAGGCGACTATGACGTTTTGGAATAAGATTCGTTATTTCGTTTGCAATTAATCAGCTGTTTGTTATTGTTAATGTTAACTAAAGTGTATTCAAATCCAAGCTGGACTAAACAAAAACGCCCAGACGCATGATAACTCGTTCTTATTGGTCGATTCTGATGGTATAACTCGGATTGTAAGTTCTTATTGGTCGATTCGGAGGATTGTGTTTACATTTAGTCCAGCTTGGTTTTGAATTGACTTTAAGTATTATAATTTTCATTTATTTGATGGTGGGACAAAATAATATGTGGAACTCGTGAAGAATGGTCAATCCTAAACTCGCATTCTTGATACGCTCGCTTTGCTCGCGTAACAAGCAACTTGTTTGTTCAGAATCGACAATTTTCTCCACTCTTTGCACAATAATAATGTATAATATAATTGGGAAAATTCTCATAAACAAACCAAAATACGTTGCCGATCGATAACAGCCGCTCCGCCACTGGTTGTCTGAATGTTTTGGCATGTGGCAGAATTAAAACATTGAAAACCGCATCGTAGCCGGGGAAACTCGTTCCCGCGAGACGCTTGGTTACAAATTTAGACTCGCACACCAGACAAGACTTTTCAAACCATCAAGATTTTTGGCTAGCTCGTTTTAACACGTCACTGTTCACCGTTAAACCGACGTCACCGTTTGGTGATCATAAAAAGTGTATTTATAACTAAATTTAAAACAAAAACACGAATATTCCTTGGATTATAGTGCACTAGGTATACATAACGAATATTTATTTAACGTAAAATTTTTAATGACTATAACTGCCCACTAAATAAAAAAAATAAACAAATAAAAGTTGGACATTATTAAGTGATACTTTAATATAAATTATATCTCTGTTTCATTGATTATTTCAGTCCAAGGCTGGTATAAATTTAATTATCTGGCAATATTGTTTTTTATTGGGGATCAACTAAATAACGGTCTTATTGCAATTAAATACCTTGTTGCAAGAACGTGCTTACTAAAAATATTTTAACTTCAATATTAAGTAATGAAGATTATCACATTTTTGATTAGCACAAAAATGGACCTGCACCGTTCTTGCACCAAGGTATGGGTGTTATTAAATATAAAATTTCCTAAGCAATGGCAGTTACATTAAAAACGACTCTAAAAAACCTCTAAATACCTATATATTACTAAATTTGTTAATTAAAAGATAGATATAGCGAAATATAACAGGTTTTGGTGGTATTTTGTTAAATCACTAATAAACATAAAATATCCTTATATTTTATTTTTATAATAAATAAAATCATATTATTTATTTAAAGATTTAATTTATGCAGGTTGTTTTGAAAGTAGTTATGTTTGACCCTTTATTTTTAGATTATTGAGTACCTATTTAAATTTAAAAATCTTAAGATATATACCTATCTCTGGTTGTATGTTATAATCTAATAGCAGTTAACAAAAAACATTTATTTTACAGTTTCTTTAAACAATTAAAATCTTGTCATACCTAATTAACAAACAAACTTTCGTTAAAGATATAACAAAAAAATCGAAATAAATTTGTTTAGGTACGTACAATCTATAATATAGATTTTATATTGTTTTCAATTAAAATAATTTTTTTTGTTTTAAACTTATCTTCCTTAAACTTCTGTAAGGCCACTGATTTAATAGATATCCTGTTTTATGTTGACACCTGCTAAATGACCCTTTGAGGTAGAAGCAGAAACTCAATAAATAAATAAAAAAACATAATAATCTGTAAATCGGTATAAATTTAAACATTTCTGATATAAAAAATTTTAATATAATCACCAAATTTATTTTTAAAGACAAATTTTATTTTTTAGACTTAGAATACGACGGTTGTTTATTATTTTTGATGTTTAAAATGAAACGTGTTTCTTAAGTTAATATTAACATAATACAGAATAATTTTAACAATTTTAAAATCAAATCAAATTGGCTTTTGATATTTGGCCATCTCGATGCCTCGTTTAAATTAATTGTTTATACCTACCCTAAAAATAATTTTGATAATTCTTTTTAATTTTAATGATATAAAAAAGATCATATCTCGCAACATGTAGGTACGATGCTCCATATCAAAAAGTCCCACATTTGAATAAGGAATACAAATGGGAATACTTATGAACAGTTGGGAATACATGGGAATCCCTAGACTTTATCACTTTTGGTGGTGACCCCTCGATCACTGGTCGACAAAATTTTTTTTGTTTTCCACAGGTTGACGTAATTTGCGTGCTCTAATTCTCAAAATGACCATCATAATTAGGTCTTGCTTTTGCGATATTGGGGTAAAACCGTTTTTTTCTACGACCACTATGTAAGTCACTTTTCATGATGGCATCGTTGCTTAGAAAATGAATCTTTTCATTGGCAAGGCAAAACACGAATGTAAAGTGACATTTCTGTGTGAAAAGTGACAGGTCTGTGTTAAAAGAACCGGAAAGCATCGTTTGACATTCAGCTGTCAAAAAAAAATAATATAAAATAAAAGGGTCGCAGAAAAAACATTGTGTTATACTTGTGAGAAAAGCTTTCTTCAAGCTCGTGTTAATGCACACTCGGCCTAACGGCCTCGTGGGCAACTTAAAAACTCGCATGAAAAAGTCGCTTTTCAACACTTGTAAAACAAATAACTATTTCCTTATGTTCGTGGTTAAATTTATAAATTTAATGTGATGGCATATTTATGCATATCATATCATTTAATGTGGTTCATGTTTCTTATCAATTTTAAATATTATGTTTCAGTTGCCATATATTTAAAATTAGAAAACAAAAATATTGACTATGATAAACATAAAATATAATTACATTCAAGCAATTTTTACTATACATAATATCAGGAAGTTTAAAACTTAAAACTTAATATTTATTATAAAACAAATATAATTTTATCCATTATTATCATAAAATATTTATTTAATTCCTATTACACTTTAACGTTAATTTTAATTTTATTTTTAAATATAATTATATTGAATAATTATAAATAAAAACCAAAGATATTATTAAATTATTAAACTATTTAAAACCATTGCTTTATATAAATGTATACATATTATGAATTATTATTTTGTTGTTTTTTTAAACATTTTTAAACTATCTAAAACCCTGCTTTTAACTACAATAATAATAATCATATGCCAAAAAAATTATTTACTTTAGAATGAACATTAATTTTTGGTTTTCTTTTTAGCCCTTGGAGCTGCCTATGGCACAGCAAAATCCGGTACCGGTATTGCCGCCATGTCGGTAATGAGGCCGGAACTCATCATGAAATCCATCATTCCAGTTGTCATGGCTGGTATTATTGCCATTTACGGTCTTGTCATTGCCGTCTTGATTGCTGGTGGACTTAAGGAACCAGCAGAATACCCTCTATTCAAGTAAGTGTTTAATCACACAATAAGTGTGTAATAAAAAATAGGCCATTAATTAGGAAAATTCACTAGTAAACAAACAAATGAATCTTATTTTAGCATAAATCCATATATGTACATAAGTTATTAAATGAAATTCTTTTTTTTTGGACATAGATACTACTTACTAAAACATTAAATAAATTTCTTCAATCAGTCTTTGACCTAAGCACTTAAAAATAATTTAGACCAATTGGGTTAGGTTATGTATGGCCTAGGCCTTAAAAATTCATTATTTACCACTTTGGAACAATAAAAAATTCGGCTTTTATCAGATCTATCTAACCTCACTTGAAGATAAAATGTATGCCATTCGGACAAGAAATGTCTGTGTTTTTCTCAACTTTGAGCTTGGCCTAATGATACAAATAACTATTATACTACATTATAATATAATTGTTATTGTTATAGTACATGATTACATTTAACAAGAAAATCAAATATCAGCTATGTATTACAAGGAAAACGTGTTGGACCAAACGTGGATTCTAAGAATGTTACATTTGATTTCTGACTTGAGTTATGAAATCATCTCATACTTTTGAACAATACAGTATGAAGTCAAGATGAGTTAAATCGCTACTTGGCGGCCAATTTTGGTCTGCAAACGTCATTATATTTAGTTTTTTTTATTGCAATTCTTTGGGTAAAGAACTTTTTTTTTCGATCGTTGGGGTACCATATAGGAAGCTTAAATCCGAGTTTTTTACCATCAACCCCTTGCAGATATTCCGCCATATTGAATTAATGCGCTCATTCTCGAATAACAGCCGTATTTTTTATTTTATCGAAAAAACAGTCGATATCATTTTTGACAAGAAAAATGAGTTCCACAAATTTTTGTTGCCACCAGCACTCATGCTTTTTGTTAAAATATTACTTAGCAACGTGTTTTTTCGATTCTTTTCGGAAAAATTAAATGCCCTTATGATATTACTTACGATAAAATTAAAAATACGGTTGTATTTAGCCCTTAATCCAAGATGGCGGAAAAGCTGGAAGGGGTTCATGGTCGAAAATTCGGTACCCCAAAGACCGCACAAAAAAATTTTTACCAATTGAATTGCAATAATACAAAAATATGCAACAATTTTTCAAATTTACGATTTTCTTAGGGATAATATCCGTACACTGATATTGACAAAAAGTTTCTGACTTTCATATAATATTATGATTATAATAATATATAATTTTAATTATTCCTATTACTTTAATCCAGTGAGAATATTCTACCGGGCCACAAAAAAACATATTCGGTGCTGTATTAACATAACTATTGTGTTATTTCACACATCAATTTATAAAATTATAATTTTGTAATTTTACTTCATAAATCATTCAGTTTTTTGTTAATGGATATTTTTAATGAACTTCCTTTTGCAAAAAAGACCTAACCGACAGTATATTTAACTTTTACGTTTATTTTCTTAAATTATATTAATTATTAATTCAATTCAATGTTTAGTTTAATTTTTTTTTTGTAATAAAGATATTTTTTTGTAATTAAAATATTGTTAAATTGTTTATTAAAATGTGTATACTTAAAAAAAACAATTTTTTCAAGGCCTGAAAAAAACGGTAAAAAGCAGTTTCTTCCAATTGTTTTCCGTTTTTTAAAACCCTAGTTCCAAAACGTATTCTTTTAGCGTTAGCGTTTTGGTTAATTGCATATTGTTTTTTATATGGACTTCGGGGACGCAATACCGCGACAGTCAAATTACTTAGACCATATAACACTGGACCCGTAAACAAACACTATTTTGTCTTTAAGATGTGTTTTGACAGTTGCTTGGTGTTTTGTATTGTTTTAAGTCGTATTTTTACTGAAAAAAAACTGTAGCCCTGCCGAAAATGACCCATAGAAACCAATAAGAAAATAAAATGGTTTGTACCAGACTAAATGTGTGTATTGGTACTGGTTTTTATTGGCTTATATATGTCGCCAAACGGTTTTAAGGCTGAATGGGAATTACCCAATCAAACCAATTTAAGTCAGTTATGACCTCCAATTAATATCAATTCACAAGATTCAAACCTGTAAGACCCAACATTACAACATAAATTCCCATTGGTTTCTATTGTTTTTAAAAGGGCATTTTCGGCAGGGAGACTTCTTGAAAATAACTTAAAATGGTAAAAATGTACATAGTTCGTGGTGAAAAATAAATACAGCGTAAATGCCATAGACGTACATTTCATAGGCAAGTACCATTAGCCATGGGAGTGGCTTGGAATTTCGCCGACAGGTTTTATTTTACTTTTAAATAATAAATAATACATATAATTCAATCATTATATAACAATCATAAGTACTATAAGTATTCAGTTAACATATTTCTTAGATTTTACTTAATACTGCTACGCCACTGTACGATACATTTTGCAGACAAACACGCGATGATTTTAACGCACATTTTGCTTCCAGTGTTATATGGTCTACACAATACTGTTTTTGGTTTAAAATTGTAATTGCTGGGGCAACCTTTATAATAATGGTAGATTCTTAGAAAAAATTTAACATTTTTAAATAATATCCATTAATTGTAATAAATAATAAATAATAATTATAACCCCAGATAGCACAAAGAAGTAGTAAAAACGTCCTGAGTATATCTTGTATCTGTCATTAGTAAGTTCCGAGTACGTCCGAATCAGGTCTTGAACCTTCCCCAGGACGTTCCAGGGACATCCGATGTTACCCAATCGTCGGTCCCCAGAACGTCCTAACATCCTCTGGCCATTCTGAAATTCTTTATTGGGGACTATTGGACAAGCTTTACAGAATTGAAGAGTGGTATTCCCAAAGGGTATAAGTGACAAAAATAAAATTGTGAGGTATTAATGAAAAACAAATAATTTGCACATGTTAGTTGAAATATTTTTTAAGTCATTCTGCATGACACAAACTATTTTTAAATGATAATATATTATTTAACCAACTTGGCACTTAGACCCTTTGGAAATACAATGCTTCAATTACTAAAACGTTTTTGGGACGTACCCAGTATATCCGCTATAATTTTCCCAAATAAGTAAGAGACTGGACGTACCCAAAGCTTCCGATATAGGTCTGGGACGTTCGGACCTATGTGCAGGCCCGTTCCTGGCGAGCGTGCAGTGCGTGCACGCACGCAGGCGCAACATTTCGGGGGCGAAAAATCAAAGAGTCAATCAGTACTTTGTAACGATAAACTTTCTTGCATATGATACTTCTGCCTTTTTTGCGTCGGCCGCTCTTTTTTCGGTCGCTATAAAGCGCCTTTTGCCGCTTTGATATTGGCTGCTTATTTTGTTTTGATATGAGGATCAAAATAAAAGGAGAGAAATGGTCATTATCTTTAGTATTTGTTTGATAGTTGCAGTTGACGGTAGCAAAGTTTAACAGTAGTAACTCTCTAAAATAGAATTAGTCAAAAATGACTAATTCAATTAGTCTAATTGCAATAGTGAAAAAGCAGCGACTAATAATTATTGTCAATAGTAATTTGTACCTCGGATATTTAGCAGTCAACTCCTATGTAAAATTGTCCGCTGAATCCGAAAATGTCGTCAAAAGTTATAAAAGTAGAACGTTTTTGAGATTTAGTAAATTTTCCATATAATATGGTATTGACTATATCTTAAAAACTGCTTTACTTTTATAATTTTTGACGGTATTTTCGGATTCAGGGGACAATTTTACATAATAATAAGCTGTTAAATGCCCGGGATACAAATAGCTGTGGACTAAAGTTATTAGTGACTGCTTTTTTACTTTGAAAACTAGTCATTTTTAGAGAGTATGTCACTAAAAACCAGTTGTAGTTATTATATTGTTTAGAATGTTTTTTTTTCTTTAGAGTATTTTTATCACTGACTATTTCCCTCGTCTTAATTTCCACCAATCACAAACGCGCAATTTTGAACTACAAATGGTTTCTAGGTGGAAAAACTGTATGACAGCACCTGTCAGCAGTTTTTTCTAGTTTACCCGCGGCAAAACATGACAGCTGTTGTCACCAAAAATTGCAATTTATACTTTAATTGTTAACTGTTACTCATGAAATAGTCTTGTCAAATACCATTCGGGCATCTAACTTTTCCTATGAAAAAAATCGTTAAAACACAATGCTAAGTAATATTTTTTAACAAAATGCATTCGTGCAGGTGCAAAAATCCTCGTCTTCGACTCGGATTTTTGTTACCACCAGCACTCATGCTTCTTGTTAAAATATTACTTAGCAACGTGTTTTTTCGATTTTTTTCGAAAAAATAGATGCCCTTATGATATTACTTGTTTGTTTGGTAATTTAAAAAATATTTTTTAAGCGGTTTTTTTACATTTTCAATTACATATTGCCAGTTTGTCGCAAAATATATATTTTTTAAATTTTACGGCTTAAAATTCAAATATTTACTTAATGTATTATATTTAAATATAATAGGGGCGCACCAACGAATGCTGCACGCAGGCGCCAGACACCCCAGGAACGGGCCTGTCTATGTGGGACCCGAAATGGACGTCCTGGGTACCTCTTGTGCTATCTGGGACATTTAACCCTTAGATACTTGGGTAGTATCTTGTTACATAATTGCCTGCGCGGTATATTTTATATAGCAAATTTATTAAAATGTACAATGTACAAAATACACAAGAGTGAGTAATTAAGGGTTAAAAAGATCTTTTCTTTTAATCTCATATTGACTTTTTCATAATAAACTCATTAAGAATATTGCTATTGTTCAAAATTTCGACAATGGTGTGGAGCTTTTTCATAACAAAAAAATCTTATATATTTAATAAATTATTTTAATATTAAAAATCTTGCCAAAATACATACAAAATGCATTAATTTTATGCAGTTGCATTGGATTTTAATATTCTAACATAAAATTTGGCCTTTGGAAACCAATTTAATATAAAATGTACCATCCATAAAAGTGTTAAATTGTTAAAAAGTCTTCGTTTGTTATTTAAAAATATACAGGGGATACATATTTTTTTAAATGGCAATGGCATACTAATGAAGTGGTAGTTTCTTAATTATCATGGCAACAACTATGGCGCCTACTCAAGGAGCCCGAAATTAAGTGTTTTTTCACCACCAGTGGCGGTGATTGTCGATGCTTATTGACGTCTGCTGTTTTGGTGGCGTTTCAGTACAAATCAAACAATTGTTTATTAATAAACGGAGCACCAGCGCCCTCTTATCTGGCGAAGATTTTTGTATACATGAAGTTCGGACTCCTTGTGTAGGCTTCATGATGGCAACAAACAATATTAAAAAAGTGGCAAATTCGTTACTTTTATTTTTAGGTTATTTATTTTACGTCAGACTTGACAGAAGCAAAAACAGAACGCTGTGACTACAGGCACGTTAACGTGCCGCGATTTGAAATGTTAAAGGCACGTTAGTTACGTCATAAACTCAAACCATCCCAAACTCAACAACACAACCCAACCGACCCCGCCCCATTGGCCCCCCCCCGCCCCATTGAACAAAAAACCCAACTAAAATGGGCAAATTTATGTTACGATAAAAATAAAACACTTTTTAACAAAGGAACAACATATTTATGAAATAAGAAAAGTTCGACAACTTCTAGTAGATTTTATGTTACGATAAAACTAAAACAAACCAACCAACCCAACCCAACCGAACACTGTTTAACAAAGAAACAACAAATTTATGAAATAAAAAAATAAAAAAAATTCGACAGCTACTTGGTTTCGAACCCTGGACCTCTCGCATGCCAAGCGAACGCCCTACCATATAAGCTATTTAGCTTGATGTCAAATATTAAATGGACAGGGAACAAAAACGGATTATAATTATGACGTAACTAACGTGCCTTTAATATTTCCAATCGCGGTACGTTAGCGTGCCTCTAGTCACTGTGAAAACAGAAAGTCCCTGTTAGGATCTAATAAAACCATAGATTAAATCTATGAAAACTAAACAAATATTAACATTAAATTGACACACACACGCGCACACACACATGCTAAATGACTTGCATTTTTTAAGCATTCTCCAAACAAAACCTACATATCAATAATTAATAACAATGCTTTGACAGAATCTAATTTTAAATCTTAACCATACATAACATAGATCTTAACTGTCACCCAAGCAGCATTTTTGGTTCCAAAAACCATTGCCAAAGTGGTGATAACTTTAAATTAGTTAAGTATACTAAACAGCTACTTTAATTTTTACTTAAAAGTAATTCTAACTTTTAAATAGCAATATTTTGTAACAGAAACTTAATTTTTCCTTAAATTGTTACTATAAAGTAATAAACATTTAAGTAAAACTTGGTTGCCCCCAAGAAGACTTTGCAACTTTAAAAAAGATGTTATAAGTAAAAAAAACTTTCAAGTAAATTTAATTTGTAGCAGTTACTTTCGGTTGCTACCTAAAGATTACATTATAATTATTTTTACTTTGTAGTCCCTTTGCAAGTTAAAATCTCGAAACTGGAACATGAGTTAAAAACTACAAAGTTAATAACTTAAAAGTTATTATTTTAGTATTTGGAACGTTTATGGTACTAACCAAAACAACCGTAAAGTGGAAAAAACTTTAAAGTAGCGAAAACTACTTCAAAGGAAAATGCTTCTTATCGGCCATTTTTTACTGTACAGTACCACGTGGTAATGTAAATAATAAATTATTTTAATTGTTTGTAAATGGTTGTTTACTTTTTAATAAATAGAAATATTGTTGGTAATAGACGGTATTAATAATTAAATAAAAAAAAATAATAATAAATATTAAGATTTTTTTATTTATAAACATTACTAAATAAATAATTTGTTTATACTTAAATATTGATGAAGCGCATTTATTTTACAAAAACTAAATTCATAAGTTCAACAGTAAAATTTAAAGGGTTTATAAATCTACCTGTCTAATTAAATATTATATTGTTATTCTGGAAGTTATAAACTACATACATATTTAATAAACGACGACATTGAAAAGCCAAGTCAGTAGTGGTTCCATTTAAAAAAGGAGGGATAGTATAATCTAATATAAGTTTGACAAAGACAGTTAATATAGAAGTAAAAACAAATAATAAAAGTAATTATAACGCTCTAGCAACGATATTGGAACGTTCTAGTAACGTAGCAGCTACGTCCCAAATAGTAGCAGGGTTGGTAGCTAGTGACATATTTGCTACCTTTTTGGAACTCAATAATTGTTCCCCACTTTAGTCGTAACGTAGTAATAAAAGAGTAATATAAAGAGACCGGCGACTGTCGCAAAACACTTTGAAGTTTCTTCAATAGTCCCATATACGTAACAAATACTTAAATTGTTGCTTGGGCAACCATTGTCTATGGTGTGATATCAACAGGTAACATTCAATTAACCAAATAATAAAGTAAAAATGGTAAAATGCATTTTTTATAAAATAAAACATTAATTCCTAATGAGACCATTGTTTAAACATTCTGTACATTAGACCTTATCTATATAATTAGACTTCAAACAATATTATCAAAGTAAACCTAGTATTTTAAAGTTTAAAATCTCAATGTTTACGCTCTCATATCTTTTTAAATAATAGAGGTAGACTTTTTTAACAATTTTCTGGGATTCCTGAAGGTGTGTAGCGCGACTTTTGGGACACCCTGTATTGTAGAAATGTATTTTTATATGATAAATTCTGATTGGATGTTTATTTTTTAGGGGATTCGTACATTTAGGAGCAGGTTTGGCTGTAGGCTTTTCTGGACTGGCTGCAGGTTTCGCTATTGGTATTGTGGGAGACGCGGGTGTAAGAGGTACAGCACAGCAGCCTAGGCTCTTCGTGGGAATGATTCTTATCCTCATTTTCGCCGAAGTATTAGGTCTTTACGGGCTTATCGTAGCTATCTACCTCTACACAAAATAAATTAGTTATGGTTTAAAAATTCATCCCTCATCCTACACACCCCATCCTTATTTCCGTTTGTTAAGAAGCGGAACACAGCCCTTTTATCATTTTGTTTTTAATATTTAAATGTAAAAACTGATTGTAAAAAAGCGTATACCACACCAAAAGTGACTGATGTCAGAAAAATGTGTAAATATTAATTATGATGGAACTTGTATTTAATTATAATACATGATCTATCATTGTAAATAATTTTAGCAGGTTTTAAAATATGCCGTCATTTTTGTGGGGTGTTCTTAATAAATTACTTGTATAGTTCTTAGTATAATAGTTTACTTTATTTCATATATTTAATTAAGACTCTATTGAGCCCAAGTATTTAATAAAGTTACAAAAGTAGCACAATTATTTTTAATTTCTCAGTTTGTCAAAACTATTTTTGGTCATAATAAACTATGGTAGAGACTTTATTTCATATGATTATAGTTTTTAATTGGTTGATGAATTCTCCATTTAACATATCATTTTGAAAGGATTTCAGCTTTATGTTTCCATTTGTTATACATATTGTTAGTGTCAAAGTGCTCATATTTCATTTTATTGTAGTCACATGAATGAACATTGTGCTATGTTCTATATACATATTGTAACCTTCCATGTATCCTTGACAAATTAATTTTTCATTAGTAACTATAAAGACGAGAAAATAAAACTGTATTGTTGTAAATATAACAATATATATATATGTATTGATGGTTTGGTGTTAATAGTTCTACGTGTTAGCCTTTTCTGTAGTCTAGCTTCGATAGAGAACTTAGCTGCAGGCCAAACTGTCAATAAACCCCAAAGACCGACTTTTCCTTCTGCAGCTAAGTTCTCAACACTTATAAGAAAATGTTATGTAGTATTTTCTTTTATTTGAATAGACATAATTTAACAATCATGTAAAGTGCAGCACACGTTATGGCTTGTGTAGAGATTTGCATCTGTCTGAATATCTGCTTACTTAATTTTCTTATGTTTATCCTTAATATCAACCATTCTTTATTTGTGGGTAATCAAAGCAGGTGCACTTCTTTATAACTGTAGAGTATTATGTATTGTAGAAAAGGTTCTGTTGTAAGAGGGAACAGCAAAATTATGTTGAAAATAAATAATTTGTACATTCCATTACAATTTCTGTTTTATCAATCTTGTTTTTTTGTCCGCTTGTTTATGTTTTTGTCTTGCTTTAAATTATTTATGTACAGAATTACTTTTTAAATGATAATTTTTTATTGTTTTACGATAATTATGCCAACATGGCCTATAGCCTATGTGAAGCTAAAAGTAATATTGTAGATTTTTCAAAAATTCAAGCATGTAGTTTAAATATATATGGCTAATATGATTTTTGTCTTTATGAGAATACAACATATTTTGTTAATGTTAACACTGTTTATTTGGTACCTTTACCTTTCCATTTACTAACTACACTTTTATATTAAGTTTAATATAGATTTATTTGACAACGGAAGATTTTTTAGGAATTATTAACCCTATAGGGTTAAGGTAAAGGCTATAGGTAATTGGTATTCTTTTTCTACATCAAAAATTCCTTAAAACTGCATTTTAATATCTATAATCAATTCAAAAACTTTAAATTAGCTTCATTAAACAAACATTTGTCTGTGTTTAGATAATTAATTTTACCATAATAGTATTTTTTTGATTACCTACTCAATCAACGCCAAATTAAAGTAATAATATAAATTTGACCCTTTACAAAAACGGTTTTTTTACGATTTTTTCGTAAAATCATTCATTATTATGACTAAATAGTCGCCTCCAAGCTTTTTGACTTAATGAGCAAAATGGTGTGTATCAATGATACAGTATCATCAGCGTAATTCATTAAACTCGAACAAATATCATTTAAATATGTCAAACATAATACAGGGCCCATAATGCTTATTGGAGGAACACCAGTTTAATATCTAGACCTTCAGAAATAACTTTTTCATATTTCGTGTGATAGAGACTTTTTGATGGCGACCGCGATTTTACCCGAAAACATGACGAAAATTCCCGATTTTCGAGTAAAGTACCCGCAAACGGCAACACTGGTTACTTACTAACCTGTTATAGAGCTATCTAGGAAACGCGGTAAGATGCAGTCACATGAAGGTGAGCTGTGATCTAATCGGTCAGCTGAGAAAATAGATATTATAGGTAATTATTACACCTTACGTATGTTATATTATAAGGTAATTATGCAATAAACTTATAACACAGAAAAAAATTTAATAAATACTTCGTGTTTTTCCTGCTGAAAATGACGGATGATTGCGGATATAAGTTCTTCGTCAAAACCGGATAAAAGCAGATGATTGCGGGTATAAATTCTTCGTCGAAGCCGGATAAAAGCGGGTAAAAATATAATCTGATAACATCTGCTTTTGTCCGCATCGCTATATCCGCGAACACTCGGTTGGCTGTGTTTTATGTCCGGTTAGTACACCCCTGCAATCATCTTTTATTAACCGTCTTCACTGTGTTTCGTTTATATCTGAATTTGTCCAGAATCATCTGCAAACGTCCGTGATAACCTGCATTTTTTTGTCTGGTTTTATCCGCGACCATATGCTTTTACCTGCAAACGTCTGCCTAGTCCAATTTCACCCGCCAACATATGCTTTTATCCGCCAACATCTGCAATCCCCCGCAAACATCTGCTTTCATACGGTTTCACTCAAAAACATGCTTTTATCTGCGAACGCCTGATTTCATCCGGTTAGTGCACCCCCGCAAAGATCTGCTTTTATCCACAAACATCTGTTTTTATCCGCCATCATCTCATTTTATCCGCGAACATCTCATTTTATCCGCGAACATCTGCTTTCATCCGCGGACATCTGCTTTTATCCGCAAACATCTCATTTTATCCGCGAACATCTGCTTTCATCCGCAAACATTTGCTTTCATCCGCAAACATCCCATTTTATCCGCGAACATCATACGGTTTCGCCTGCAAACATCTGCTTTTATCCGCAAACATCTGCTTTTATCCGCAAACATCTGCTTTTATCCGCAAACATCTGCTTTTATCCGCAAACATCTGATTTTGCACGCAAACATCTGCTTTTATTCGCAATCCTCTGATTTTATTCGCAAAAATTTGATTTTAATCGCAAACATCTGATTTTTTCCCCTAACATTTGCATTTATCCGCAAATATCTGCTTTTATACGCGAACATCAGCAAACATCTGCTTTTAATTACTTTCATCCACGTTCGGTTTGCCTGCATTTCCTTTGTCCATTTCGGTCCTGTTTCGTACGCAAACGTCTGGTTTCCTTCGCGCTTTTTGTTTTCCTTTTTCTCGTGTATACTTTAGTTTTGTTTACCTGCTTTGTCAAATTTTACTGAGCTTTAAGTAACTGGTCGTTGGCCGTTCACGGCACACAACTTTATAACTCTAAAAGGAATTATTTGAATAAAAACAACCTGTAAAGTTTATTGAACTTCAATATTATTTGGTAAAATACAAATAAGGTCTTTCTTAAAAGACATAAATAGACATTTTTTAATAATTAAGCTTACATTTAAATGTTTAATTTCAAATATATTTGGAATTATAACATCTTCAATATGTATGGAATTTGTTTGAAAAACACTTATTTCGGCGTAGAATTTTTCATCTAACTTTATATGTAAGAATTATTATTTCTGCGGTACTCTTTATTATAGTATACCTGATTTTTAAATTTAAATCTGATGAATATAATTAAATTATTTTCCCATTGGGAAAATGTCGTGTTGAATAAACTTATTTCCTTTACAGTTTGTTTTTATTTACTTAAATAATTCCTTTTAGAGTTATAAAGTTGTGTGCCGTGAACGGATAACAACCAGTTAGTTAAAGCTCAGTAAAATTTGACAAAGCAGGTAAACTAAACTAAAGTATACACGAGAAAAAGGAAAACAAAAAGCGCGAATAAAACCAGACGTTTGCGTACAAAACAGGACCGAAATGGACAAAGGAAATGCATAGTGATGCCGCGAGACGAGACGAGAAAAGTCCTTCTCTCGTCTCGTCTCGTGCAGCGAGAGAAAATGGGTCTCTCGTCTCGTCGAGAATACTCTTTTCTCGCTCGAGAGTGCCTTTCTCTCGTCTCGTCTCGTTTCTCTCGTGGTAAAAGTACCTAAGTATGAATACAAAAATTATTTGGAATGAAATACGAATTCGTTTATATTTTTTTATATAGAAATTTAAACTGGAAATAAAAAAATATGTGTACCAAGACTACACTAGTGTAGTTATTAGCTAATAAAGTAAGACTTTTTACGCCGAAAATGTCGCGCATTTGAATCAAGTGGTCGGATCTATATGGAGTAGTTACATCTAGTATAGTTGTTTCTTTTAACTTGAGACATGTCTGCAGCTCAATATTTCGTGAAATACGCATTTCACAGAAAAATGTCTTATATAAAAGGTTAATGTGACCAAAGGAGACATTATTTGGTGCTACCGCTAGCCCCCCTACCCCTCCTTAAGGGTGAAACGGGGGGCAGCGCCGGATTATAAAAATTTGCGCCCCGGGTCTAATAAAAATTTTCCGCCCCTACCTATATAATAAATTCAAAGAAATGTCACTTCTTAACAAAAGGATTTTACTTAACCATAAACATTAGGGTTGTAGTATTTTTTTCGAAAATTTTTTGATTTTGGAGATCAAATAAAAAAAATAAGTCTAAAGTATTTGAGTTTCAACAGATAAAAAAAATTTAGACGTCGCTCAAAACTTTTTTTCTTACTACCTCGACTCAAAATACGTTGTTTCGTCCCCGATTCCACGGCAGAAAGTTTACGTTTTATGCAAGATACATACACCGTTTTATGCATTGGTCAAGCTATAGCTTGTATATATACGCGCACACTCTAATAGCGAGAGTAAAAATTTTTTAGTCGTGTGCTTAACATTCAAATTTCGTACTGCCAACATGAGAAACACAAAAATATGACAGTTTTAAACCATAATTTTGCAATTATAACAACAAATAAACAATTTATGTTTTTACTTTTTTACTTTTTATGTTGTTTTAGGTCTTTAATGGTACTTTTATTTGTTATAAAGTAGTAATTTGTTAATTAAAATACAACCTTTTATTTTTACTGTATTGGCACCGCTGAATTCACGGCCTACTGTTAGGGGTCGTTCATTAATTACGTGAGGTGTTTAGGGGGGGGAGGGGGTCGAGCCAAACCTCACCAAATCTCACGTGAGGGGGGAGGGGGGTTCTCGGCAAATATCACGTAATTTTTTTTCCGAAAGAAAGAGTGTAAAATTGCGAGAAAACTGGGTTAAATTAAGTAAACAATTATAAGCAAATTGATTTTTTTAATAAATCTAATGGAATCAAGCATAGATTAACTTATTTACATTAAAACCATGCATTTAAAAAAATCTCACGTGAGATTAAGGGGGGGGGAGAGGGAGTCGAGCAAAATCTCACGACATCTCACCAAGGGAGGGGGGGGGGGTCGAAAAATCGCCAAAATTGTCTCACGTAATTAATGAACGGCCCCTTATTTATTTATCAAGCTCTTCAAATGGAGATAGGTACATAAATACACATTTAATTTTTTCCCGTATTTTCGGCCGGGTTGTATTTTCGGGAATCTCACACTTTCTGCCCTTGTAGTGTAATATACTATTAAACCAACCTTTTTTCTCAAAATCTTTGGCTTCTCACTATTTTTTTTGTAGGTCGTATAGGAACATAATAGGTACATTTTTAAGTCAAAATATTATTGGTCGCTCAATATTTTTGAAATACGTATTGTATGTACATTTCTTGATTTTTTTAATAATTTTGATCTTGTAACCACTACTATTTTTCCAATTTAGTTGATTTTTTTGAGCGACGTTTATTTTTTTTTGAGTTGAAACTTGAATACTTTAAACTTAAATTGTTTCATGTAAGCTCCGAAATAAAAAAAAATGTCGAAAAAATATTGCCACCCTAAAAACATAAACAAAAACTATATAAAAAACAAATACCTAAATAAGAAAATTAACATTTTGCCAACTCAACTTTGCGTGCTTTTAGAGAAGCAAATTTGTTTATCGAAATATTGACGTCATCTTTCAATAGGCTAATACCTATACTGTATATACATATATATATATGACTGGTACTGTATATAACTATAGTTTTAAACTAATTTAAATTAATAGTTGTTCGTAGTTTAATAAAATATTCTTATATTAAAAAACCTTTACGCCCATACGCATCGCATCGTTGGAAATAATCAATTTCTGCAAACTAAAGTTCTTGTCGCCCAACAACTTGTCGGGCGCCCTACGTAATACGTGACATGACATATTTCGTATACTATGCATAGATAATAATACTATGGCAACAATCACGGTTATAATTTAAATAA